CGGGGCCGGGCCGGGGCCTGGGCGGGCCTCTGGTGTCAGTGCGTCCGTCGTGGGACGGGGGCCGTTGCCACAGCGGCCCTGCCCCTTTTTCTCTTACCTTGGTTTTTTTCCTTTCCCTTCGCCCTCAGGCTGCAGCTGTGTTTCAGCATACACAGGCAGGAAGTCTGCGTGGGGGCAGCTGCCTCTGGCGCACCAGACTGCTCTGGGCGAGAAGCTGTACCTTGATCGGCTTTGCATGGAGTCTACTGCAGCTTTACTTACATGAGAAATAAAAGTTTAGAGCACAGAAAGTCCTCCCTGCTGCATCTGTTTCCCTATTACGCCTACGACAACACTGGACAGTGAAGCGGCTTGCTGCCAGTGGTGCTGTGCAAGGCTGGCTGCCGTTCGGCACTGGAAGTGTACGCATGTCCTACTAGAGGCAAAGGTAGAGCCAATAATAGAAAAATTAGATTGAAATGGCAGTCTAAATGTCAAGGAATCATATTGCTTCTCTCTGCCCTCTTGGCTGAGAGTGTCCATCGGTTGTGTTCCCATAGGAAAGGGTTCGTACGTCGTATTAGTGGGATGAAGCTTGGCTTCAAAACACTCAATTCCTTTTGCGTTGATGATGTCTGCAATTACTACTCTGTCTGTGGATACTTAAATATTTTAAATACAAATTTCACCCAGTTCTTTTAAAAGCCCTTCATCTAATGCCATCTGGTGGTTTTTATGGTGTAGCCCAGACAGCATTACTTGAAAACAGAATTTTAATTGCTATTGTATTTTAAAGTATTTCTATTTAGAGGATGAAGCAGCACACTCTTCATGTTTTCTTTGGCAAACCTTAACCTGGAGTTATAAAACCCAGTGTATCAGTGTACACGTTATAGATGAAAACTGAGCTGAACAGCCCCAGCAAAGCCAGCAGTGGCTGGTTGCCAGGGGCAAAAAGATCTTTCCACTCAGAAATAAAAATAATAAACAGAAGTTTTCTGGAAATCAGTATACCAGGAACAAATATACAGACTGGAATGGTAATAAAATCAAAGACGTGATTGTGAAGCCCTGCAGGGAGAGATGAACATCAGCTCCCTGACTGGGCACCAGGCTGTCAGACAAAATTGCTGAGGATATAGAGTTCTAGTAACCTTTGCTGTTGCACAAAGAACATCCAGCCTACTTAATGACATCTTTGATGCTTCAAGAATTTTCTCTAGGCAGGTCTATTATGGTAGTTGTCCAAAGATTGCTTTGTGATCCCTTATAAACTTACCACCTAAGGACATTTGTCTACACTTTCAAACAGTTATTAGATTTTGGAGTGGAGCATAAGAGGCTTGACATAAACTGTTGGTTGCTTATAAAATTTGGAATTGGGTATATATTTGGAAATCAGACAATGATAGCCTTAAACTTGTAAGAAAAATATAATTTAAGTCTTAAATTGCTTGTTTTATTTTTGCAGGGCTTTTAATGTTTATTACCTGAGTGTTTGCAGTGAAGTCTGTACAGCTTTCCCTGCTGTGCAGATCTGCCTACAGCAGGGCACTAGGTTAGTCCTGCAGAGCAGGAAATCCAAGTTTATTCTCAGTCCAATGGGAGTGAAAGAGTGCTTCTGTGCAGCAGGGGTAATGCTCAATAAAACTGCTCTGCACACTTTGATGTAGTTATGAGGACAAACTGCCTCAAGTTCCCTCACACTTCCTTTGCATAACAGAATGTGTGACAGCACTGCTGTGGTGCAGCCTCCAGTGGTGTCACTGCCATCTGTTACCTCATCCTTGGTAAAGACACAGTGAACAGTCCAGGGAGACAACTCAGCTGGAAACTCATCATTTTGTGGTGTCAATACAACTTTCCTCTCAATCTCATGCTTGAAAATACACAGATCATGGCTGCACAAAGCACTGCTGCTGCAAGCTGCATCTTCTGAGGAGGGCGCAAAGGGCACAAGCGTTCCAAAGCTGGGATCAGTCCAAGTTGTCAAGAAATGATGTTTTAAATTCTGGCAAAATGTCTCAAAGCAAATATTAAAAGGAGGCATTAGCATGATGATTCTGTATCTGTGTCTGTATGATACAAGCCCATTTTGGCTCATCAGAGCTGATTGATGTCCTAAAGGTACTACCTGAATGTTGTTCTAGAGGTACCACCTACTAAAAGTATAGATAAATTGGTTTTCCTGAAGTGTTTTGCTTCTTTTAATAAGGGAACCAGCAATTTGCTGGCTAATCCTTAATTTGGTAGGCACTATTTTCCTGAGCTTCTTTGTTATGTTAAGTGAAGGCAGTAACTAATGACTAAGTACAGACAGGCTACTCCTCTGAGCTTTTCAAGGGTCTGGAGCCTGTATCTGTTACACAGGTTACTGAGAGTGATGAGGAGTCTTAATGGTAGGAAAAATTACAGAATGAGTACAGATGTACTAAAAATTCAATATCGTGTCCCGTGCATGGAAATCCCACGTCATAGTTCACCTTGCACTGGGGGGACCATCTGTAGCAGAGCCAACAACTAAATGCTGATTAAAACCCATATTATATTTTTAAAGTAACACTGATTGAAACGTGTAAGTACTGTAGCTGTGTGTACCTTTGGGTTATTCTTATTCTTTAATTGTAATATTCTTAGCAGAAGCACAGGAATGTCAACAGGCAGCCCATGTAAAATAAAACAAAACAATTTTTATGGGAACAGGAACGGGAGCTTTAAAATGGCTGTAATTGTGTAACTAACTTTTATATCCCAGTCACTCTCACTTTAGCAGTGTTTTGACATAGGTTTCTTAATTTTTGTGGATTTTGGGGATTAACTACTGATATTGAAACTGTTGCTAATGCGCACGTGAAATGTCTACATTTCATTCACAAAACAAACTAAAAAAAAACCAGTGTGTCCTAGAAACTGTATTTACTTTCTCAGTATGACTCCATATGGACAAAACCTTTGAGGGAGTCAGTCTTCAAGTACTTTGTGCCTTTTTTCCTACCTATTCTTACGCTGCGGACATAAATAGTTAACCCCTAATTATTCATCCCTTTTATTTGCTAGATAATACTCAGTACTTATGTAAATAGATGGTATTTCCATATGGTTTTATAGAATTACACCTGTATTACTTAGGGATGAAAGAATCTGGTTTTGGAACACTGAGAAAAGATTGCAAAAGAAGCAACCCTTTTCCCCTAAATCCAGTTATAGTAATGTGGAGACCTTTTATGCATAATGATATTGTGGGGAGTAGATGCAATAAATAATATCAGATTGGTTAGATAAAAATATATGTCGACCCATATATCACTCAAATACATCATGCCATGAAGATTTGAATGTACAGAATTATCAATGCATAAAGTACATAGAATAATTAAATTGTGGCTTGAAATATTGCCAGTCTTTAAACAGAACATGTACAGAATATAGCAAAAACATCAGTTTTGTAACAAGATATATTCACAGTAGAAAGACAATCCAGTTAGAGGAGAAGTTACACAAGCAAAAAGTAGCTGCATGCAAATGAAGAGAAACGGTGAATTAGGAAACTGGGTTTTAAGGGTTAGCCAAAGATTTTGCTGTGGGAAATTTGGTCTCTGACAGAGACAAACTGTGAAGTCCAGAAACATGTAGATCTGTTTCCCAAAGGCATTACTAAGCTAAAATAAAAAAGACTGTAAGCAACGGTATTGTTGGTGGATATTTCCTTGGTTTAGAATTTCCTGTAGTAAGATCCGGGAAGATAAATGTACGTTCATAAGTGTGTAGGCTTATCTACTTATTTCAGTCTCACCCTGCAGCTCCATGAAGGAAAGAGAGAAGAAGAAAACAGCAGTGCAACATGTTCATATTTGTACATGGCTCTCTTCCAGGCGATGTGTTACATTGAGACAAGGAGAGTAAAATGAGGTCTCTGGAGTCTGCTTTGCAATAAATTGTATTTCTGTACTATTGGATTTCCATTTATTTCAGTGATCCTATCCTGGTTTGCAATTGGTACAATAAAAGGAGGAATCCATTTGAAAAGTAGTGCATGTAGCCTTGCAGCCTGTAACATGAGGACCATAGTAAAACAAGGCCATGTCGGATGGGATTAAACTGGTCTGTCATTAACTGGTTTATGATGATGACTGAGGTTGTATTGCAATGCCCCTGGGATTTACACTTTGGCTTTATTTTTCTGATTAGAGCAGGCAAGAGAGAGAGTCTATAAATACATTTTCTCATCTTATAATCGACTTAGTTAATGATGCATGAGTGGATGGGTCTCCAGCCATATGTTGCTAAGGGGCTCTGTGCAGTTGAAGGAGGGCTATACCTTCAAGGGTTAGCTAAAATTGAAAGTTCTGTGACTGACAGAATTATTTTAGCTCATATGTTGCAACTTCTGTTCTATATTTTAACACACAGATTCTTTCTTGGAATAGAAGTCCCTTCATTTAAACAATGGAAAATCTATTGTGTTTTCTATCACCAGCTTCCACAGAACAAAATTTTGGTTCAGGGAACATAAAATTCATAAAAATAAGTGTCACACAAATATTTTGTAACATGGGAAAGGAAGACTTGCCTCCTGTACTTCCTGATGGGAAGGCAGTCCCTGCCAGCAGTGCTGCTGTGCATGGACAGGCTGTCCTGATTTGCCTCTGCAAGCCCAGTCATAAAATCAGTGGATTTGAGATCAGAAGGCCTATGGCATTAAGACAGCCTATCTTAATGTTAAAAAGGGATGCAACTTGAAGAATAGAAAATTAATGTAGCAGAAAAAATCCAGCTCTCCCAGTGTGCTTGAAGATGTGTAAGCCACTTAGATACAACCACATACACTACAGCAGGAGTGGATCTGTGCAGGTAAAGGGTCAGTCTGCCTCTCCATACTGTACATTTTTCACTTCAAACTCACTCTAGTCTGGTTTGATGGATTGGACACACAGTTCCATCTTAGGGAAATCCAGGTTGTGCACTCAAGACCACTTTGGGATATGAAGTAAGGCAGAAGGGGATATTTGAGCACTTAAATCCCAAATAGAACCCTTGATACAGATCCACCCCAATTTATTGATATTAATTCACTGTAACAATAAAAAACTCTGCACTATCAAGATGTTTTACCCATATATCACAAGGAATTTTACAAGTGTGGTTAAAGGTGATTATAACATTCTCAGAGAAATTATCACCTGCTCATTCCCTTGACTTCTTAGGAACATCCATCTCACTACAAAGCAGTCAGCTCTTACCCAGAATTTCTGTGTCACTGACAGAGCAACAGCTACCGTGGATCTGGCCCATATTGCTTTTTCTTTTTTTACTTTACAGTGCTACAAATCTTAGCCTTCTTTCATTTTAGCATTCTTTCTTGTGTGTTTACTCATTTTTAACATTCAGGACAAGAAAATAAATAAATAAAAAATGTGCCTGGTTGATCGTGTTATGACCAAGTGGCTTTGCTTGCTTGCTGCGGATGCAAGCAGTTGTCAGAGGGAGCTCACAGTCATGACTCAAAAAGCAAGTCACCAAGAACAAAACTATCCTTACAGCCAATTCTTGCACCAACTCTGCTAAGTCCCTTCCTGCCCAGTACAAGAATTCCAGCTAGGAATCTGTGTTCATTCCTGGAAACATGAGTAATCCCTTTGAGCTTGTGCTGGAAAGCTCAGCTGTTGCAGCTTCTTCCCCCACACAATTTGATTTCTTTATTCTATATTTTGAAAGATGAGGAACTCCTGATGAACACACTTTCACAGATAGGGCAAGCCATGGCACCTCGTTCCAGGATACCAGTAGCAGGGACTTGATAGCAATGACTCAGTTTCTGTCCTTCTTCTTCCCACATGGACTAAACACTTTCCTCTTCTTTCGTGATGCTATAATCTGTTAGCAGTGTAACACTGATTTCTGAGCCACGCATGCTGCCTGTGACTGACAGAGCTCTGGTAGGAGAACTGCTCTGGGGAGCACTGGGAGGCTTTGCACAGAATGCTGCCTTGCAGCATGAGACTTGCTTTCTAAAATGTTGCCGGAAACTTTTGCTCAGCCAATAAAGAGCAAAAGGGTTGACGCAGGAATTGCTGAAGGCCAAGGCACGGGAAAAAATAGTTGCTATCAGATGAAAGGTAGAAGCATTGACAGAAGTGTGGTATGTGAAAGAGCGGTACAGGTAGAGGATGTGGTTGGGCAACCAGCAGAAGGCAAACAGAGCCACAAGCACCAGCACTGTCTTTGCAACTCTCTTGCGGGATTCAATCTACAAGAAAGAAATGCATAGATGGTAGTAATAGTAATTAGTAAAATATTTTTGTTGTTGGTGCTGATTTGCAAAGCAGTGTAAAAGTCTAAATGCTTGAATAACCAAAAAAGCAAAAAGTAAAAATAAAATGAACAAATAAAACCCCAAACCAGAAGACCTAAACCAGAAAATAAATCTATTTCATATTTTTTAACAAAGCATTCCCAGTCAAGAGCACATTTCTTTTCCATTATACATCATATGACACTCTCATCTAGACTAGGACTTAAAAATACGGTAATTAATGTGTCAGCTCACATGGATGAGGTCCCAGTGTTTAGAATTCAATGTTTTAACTCTTGAGTTTACAGGGTCACGATAAAACACAGACTCATCTCTCTTTAGGAAAGAGTGGACACTCACAAATGATGAGTCATGAGCATATGCCTAAGTGCACAGATGAGTTTGGATTCAAATTTGGTACAGGCTAAGTTTGTGGAGCTTTTTACTCCATTATGAGGTAAAGTTCTGTACTTAAGAATTAGTATTTAATCAACTCAATAGACTTTAGAAAACTGGAGAGTTTAGTGCTTGATCAGAGCTTACCTGCTTACGGGCATGAGAGTGTTCTTCTGCTGGCATGTTGGATGTACTTTTATATAAAGTTCTGGCAATAAGAAAGTAGTAGACCGAAATGACAGCTAAGGGCACAATATAGAACACTAAGAAGCAAACCAGGGAGTGAGCTTCCTGCAGGATCTTCTCAGATACAGGATAGGGGGCACACGCCTCAAAAGTTATATTTTTCTCAGGATTGCTGAAAGAATACAAATCTGAAAAAACAGCCTCTGGGATAGCAAATATCATGGAGACAATCCAAACACAGCCCGCTTTACAGCAGGTCTTCAGGTGCGCATCTGAAGTCTTCAGTTCCAAGGGTTTAACAATGGCTCTGTACCTAGAATGACCAACATTGCTGTCAGAATAAACACAGAAATAATGTGAGCACATACTGCAAAATTCTTGAGGCTAAAGCCATTACTGTTCTCGCTAAACAAAGGGTGCTGGAATTCTCTTGGAAATGAAAGCAGACACCAGCTCTTTGGAATTAAAATCAAAATGTAAAAATTAATTTCAGGCATGTATTTTAATGGATTGACAGGCAGGAGTTGCCATTAAAACCTTCCTATGTAAAGATGACTTCTAAAGTTTGGATTGGAATCCCTAAGGGCAATCATCACTCCTAATTTTATGACACTGCCTTGAAAGATATATGAGGGAATTTGTATGCAACATTGATGAAGGTACAAAACAGGTTAACTATTTTATAAATAGATGAAACCATGCATGTTCGCCCCTCCTTTCTTCTGTCTTCCTGAGACCCCTGCTGAGTGCAGTGATCTGACTCAAAATAATACTCCAGGATTCATTCTTATTTATAAAGCAGGAGAGGGCACTGCTTTTGATTCATGCCTGTGATTCTGCAGCATATGGACTGAGTCAGGCATACAAGAAGAATCTGGATTAATCTATAGATGTGTGATAATCTGTGTGGAATTGGGACATAGACCAATTTCCATGAAGGCAGATGAAGCACAAGAAACAATATACCCTGCTCCTAAAGGACCAGGGAGTCTTGATAATGCAGAAAGAAGCAACCCCTCCAGGGGAGCACAAGGCTGGCGTGAAAAGAAAGGCGGTGAAAAAGGACCCAGAGGATAAGAAAGCTTAGTTGTATCATTTTGCACAAGCTGAGGATCTGGTCTTTTTCTCCTCTAGGCAAATTTAAATAGAAAGCTGGAAGCTGGCTTGCTATTTATCAAATAAATACCATTTTTATTCACTTTGAGCTCTTCTAGCATATTGGAACACAACAGTCTGGCATTAAGCCCATGACTGACCTGAGCTTGCTCTGTAAAAAGTTTATGATGTAGTTACTCTGTGAGAATGTAGTGCAGAGTATTTATATAACAGCTACCATGAAGAATTAAACACAGAAACAAGTGTCTAAACCATACAGTCAGAGGAGAGTTGGGGTTGGAAGGGATCTTTAAAGGTCATCTAGTCATGGTCAATTCTGAATTGACATCTTACAGGACCAAGACCTTGGAGCTACAATAGATAGTTCAACATAAACATTAGTTTATTTTCAGCAGTAGTTAAAAAACTCTAACATAAACCCAAACCAAAACAACAACAAAAAAGCAAAATGTTAGGTAGTATTAGGAAAAAAATGGAGAACAAAAGAGACAATTGTACAATTACCTGTATCCCTGATTCATGCAACTTTTTATTATCGTGTGTTGCTCTGCACACCTTAACTAGAAGAAACACAACCTAAGGATGGATTACGACATGAATAGCCTGGAGACATGAAGAGAGATCACTGTCTCCCAACACAAGTGCCAGCACCATCAAATGAAGCCATGTGCAGTGCAGAAATAAAAGGAGTTACTTTGTACAGGCAGTGAAAGCCATTGCTAAGCAAGTTCAAGAAAAAGTTGAACAAGTATCCAAAAGAGAAATTCTTTGAGGTTATAATAAATAGACAGAAACAACATCTGTTCAGTGTCATCTGAAGGTATAGGGTTAAAAATGTAGTTCAGTAGAGGTTTTTTATTCTTCCTACATGTCTTTTCTTGTCCTTATCCTACCACTGCTGGAGGCTAATATTGGTCTACATGGATCCTTGATTTGACCCTATGCAGCCATTCCTGTGCTGGCTGATTATTTTGGAGTACAGTAACTGTACCACTGGTAAAATTCTGGACACATGAACAATTTGCTATTACATACAATCCACAATCGCTGGCAGACAAGAGGACCTTTTTTCTCTCTCAATACTAAATTTAATTTTTTGTTTTTCTACTCCTCAGTGCTCCTGCTGATTGAACTGAAATCTCCTCTTAGTTTTGTTCATTCAAGAAAGAAGTACGCAGAAAACAGATTCAGCACTTACTGACAGCAGTCAGAACACTGATCCCTCCTAGTAATGCTGTCATTACAACCTGAGTTTAATTTCATGACCCCTGGGCTAAAATATTTCTGTAAAAGACAGAAGAACTGCAAAAGAAAAAGAATTATATATATATACACTTCTCAAGGTGAAAATTACATTAGCCATCCAATCACAAGAGTCATTCTTTTGTCCCCCAGTCTGTTCTGTGTTTTCGTTTGGCTTTTTGATTCCATGTCAGTCTTTTATGTTCCAGGATTTTAAAGCATCCCTGAGTACATAGGTTAAAGAATTTTCACTCATAATCAGTTTTGTTTTTCATCTTCCTTGACTACTTCACTGTACCACTAGATAGCACCAATATACTGTCTTTTCCCAACTTTAGCCATTTCCTTTTTCTGTGCAATTGAGGAAAAACCCTTGTACTGTACCTCAAACTAATAAAAGGTCAGAAGAGTTAAAGAGTTTTCCTCACCTCACTGCCTTAAAAAGAAGTGCTACAATTTTACTATCACACATTTTAAAATTACATGGGGGACTGGTATGTTGGGATTTTTAATCTATTGCAATGTGCTGTTTAAGACTGTGCAAAATTATGATATCTGCTATTTTATTAATTTCTAATTTCAAACCTGCAGCGTCTCCTGGCAAATCAGTTGCACAGACCCACCTGTCAGCACTGAGAACAGTCAGGGTAAACACTGATACTCCAACTGATGTTAACTGGATAAAAGACAGCAGCTTGCACCCAATTCTTCCGAAGAGCCAGGTATCCACAATGTAACGTGTTGCATCTATAGGCACACACGTTAGTAAAAGCAGCAGGTCTCCGAATGCCAGGCTGGTGATGAAGATGTTGGGAACCGTCTGCATTGATTTAATCTTGAAAAAAACTTTGATGAGTATTGCATTTCCAAGGAGACCCACTGAAATGATCACAGCGTATGTAACATAAATTGTGCACAATATTTCTAATCCTGGAAAGGAGTCTTCGGTCCATTTTTCATTCGTGCTTTCATTTTCAGAGCTTGATTCCACAGATGCACACAAAGTCTGATTAGCTGATTGCAAGTATAATTGAGACATTTCTTTAACTGTCTCTTCTCCCCAGGCTGGACTTCAATTGATAAAAAAAATGTTTAATATTTAGCTTGCAGCATGTCAGCAGGGTCAATGGAAAGGTAGAAGCTTGTGTCTGAAAAACAGATTCCTGTTGCACATTAAATACTTTCACTCCCTTCTGTATCTCAAAACATGCCTAGGAGAAATGCACATAGGTCTTGTTCTGAACTGGATAGGAGGAGAATTTTTTTATTGGCTTTTCAGCTAGTGGAAAGAGAGGGAGGAGGAAAAGAGAAACAGAGTTCCTTTAAATACATTAGTTGAAATGAGGTGGGATTTTTACTGCAGATATACTTATGATAAGTAAATATCATATTGTATCAAAACTATAACATTAGGGTTTGTGTATTACATAGCAAACATTTATTACTGTTGTTCAAAAATTTCTAAAATAAGAATATAATGAAAACCTGAAATAGTTTTCTCAATAGTATGGCTAAGCACAGAATATACTAAACACAAAACTCTTCAGTACACATTCATGGCAGATAAAATATATCAGAATATAGTTAATATTTTCTGACAAAGCAATAGAAACAGACTATGCTCTTGTTGCAGCGTGACAGGGTGGTAGAAATGCTGCAACCTTCTTTGAAACACCTCCTTCAGAAGCCACTCAGAGTAAGGCCACAAGAACAGCCATTTCGAGTCCATGTGCATGCCACAGATACCTCAGCAGAGGAAAGGTAGAGAGGATCTTTGCATGATATATTCCAGCAAGGGATTTATTGCATTCACCATGGCAAAGGGACCAGAGACAAAAGACCAAACCATGTGGTGTGCACGACTGAAGTGTGGGGTCAGTGACCAATGACCTGAGGGCACAGGTGAGGGCAAAGGGCAGGAGCAAGGGCAGCAACCTGCAGGGGGATGAGGGATGAATAATTGGGGTGGGCAGTGTCACCTGGCCAATGGGCGAGGCAATCTGATGTAGATTGACAGTAGTGCTGCAGAGCATCATGGGTTAAGTCTTCTCTATAACCCTGGGTGGGGAAAACTCTATGATAGAGTCTTCCCTGAGGGGGAGGAGTCAGAGCATTCCGCATGCTCTGATTAGCCTTTCTATCACAGAAATGCAGTGACATTCCAAAAGGCAATATAAACCCAAAATTTATGGCCACGGTACTGGTAACACTTAGGTTTTTTCCCTTGAAACAGTCCCACTCTTTCAATTTATGCCAAAAGTATGAAGAAGTTTACAGGTAGTTGCTGGATAGATACCCGTTATCTTGCAATAATCCATGTACATATTGGCTTTGAATGGTACAACTGGTGAGTCAAATCTTCTGAGAGAAGATTCCTGATTTCCTGATGCTTTCTCAATCAGACATGTAAGTATTAGTATGGGTTTTCTTATCTTTAGATAAGTCAACTAATAATCTCATAATGTGCTCAATTCATCTTACTTTGATGAACTCCTGCTTAACTTTTCGGTAAACTAAGATACAAGAAACGTGGTGCAGTGAGCTAAATCTCCTAAAATTAAGAAAGCCAAGATCTAATTTTAAATAGTGGGAGTGGAAAAGAGATCAAAGGCCTGAAGCCTTATGCCTTGAAAATTAAGATCAGTCACTGGAGTATTTTTCCTTCAGATTGTTCTTGAGCTGTGACATTGGAGTGGAGAAGGTATCCTGCTCAAATCACAAAAGCAGCCTTATAGTCCCTTTAGCTGCACATATTCTGATACACAAAATCAAGCTTGTTTCATTTACTCAAAAAAAAATTCTCTAAGTACTATGCATGAAAAGCCTTATTCTTTTCCTCCTGCGGTCCCAATCCTTTCAAATACAACCATGCCATATATATCAGGTGGTGAAAGACCAAGTGGTAGAATGTACATCAAATGAAAGATCTGTGCTGTGTCATGGTGGGAGGAGGCGTTACTAATGGAAAGAGGATTCATGGGTTAAAAGTACCAATTATGCTTTTTGAAAGTGCTTTCAGAAGAGAAGCTCTTTTCATCATCAACCAGAATATGTCCTTTCATGCAGGTGCAGTATGTATGTTGCTCACAGATTAAGGTACCTTTGAGGATCCTGATTATGTTGTCCACCCACACTGGCGTAGTACCATACATTACATTTAATACAGAGTTCAGTAATTGTAGCAGATTGTGACAACTTAATGTCAGATACTTACATAAATGTTTCATTTTCCTGTATGGGAGATTCAGGGTGTCACCAAACATTGGGAACTAATTGTACTCCACCAAGTGTTGAGTACTCAAGGGTGGCATCTGAACGATGCATCAGGTGTTTAGCTGAAACTGGAATTGAGCTGGAAGAAGCTCATTGCTTGTCTTGAATTGCACTAGAGGTTGGTTGGTGCACCAAAGCTTGGCCAGCAGCAGAGATCCCAACCAACTCTTACAGTCCCTGAGCTTCCAGAGCTGTTCAAGAGATTTGGGCTGGCAACACGGACTCTGAGGTTTGGTAGTTCTGTCACTTGAGCATTTTGTATGCTGGGATGAAGGACCTGAACTGGTATCCCTCTGAGCAACTCAAAATCCACAGGACAGGATTCTTGAGCTGTTAGTTGCTCCAAGCAGTTGGTTTGGGGGGTGATTCAGGTATGAAGGGAAAGCAGACAGACCTCCCAACCCATATTAAAGCCTCCTGAGGATATCAACGTGTGTCACAGCTGCAAGCAACTCCAGAAAGTGGCAAAAGCTTAAAATTCTCTTTATTCCTGGTACTTCATGTGCTGTTCATCGCAAACTGGACCAGAGTTTGTGTATCCAGACATGAATGCCCATTCTCATGCATCACGCTTTAGAACTCCCCACTATCTGGAAACACAGACTCATTTTTCCTGGTCTCTCTCTCTAACAGGGCACAGTACCCATGTCTAACCCTGCTCAAAGCAACATGAAATTCTACTTGATTTTTTCTTTCCACTGAGAAACTGCTTTTTTCCCATCTTTTTGCCTCCCTGGAAGAATGTGGCAGCAGGAAGTTTTATAATTTCTCACAGTTCTTTCCTCAGTCCTTTTATTACTGGAGGTTTTAGGTAGTTGTCCAGCTTCTCTCTTTATGGAGCCTAAAATACTGTCTTAGTGGATCAATAGGAGGTGAAAACCACTATTTTCAAAAAGTACACAAAATAACTGTCTACACCCAACGAAAATCTGAAGGACAGATAGCAAACCACATCTGCAATTTGTTTACAATAGCAGAATTTCAGCTATTTCTGATAGTTTTCTGTTTTTCAAATCTAGCTGTAAAGGAAGAGAATGGCATTGTTATTCCAAACTGTAAAGTATTCTAAGGCATTATTTTAGAGTTTTGCCTCCTGGTGTGAAAAGCAGTTAAAGTAATTCTGGCTAGTTTTTCAGACTCAAGCTTCACAGAAAATAAATGCTCCTTTTGAAATCCTTTTTGAAAACAGCCAAAATCTTAACTCACTCATAAAGAAAATTATTTTTCAAAGTATTAAATTTTTTTGTTGCTTATTTTTGGTATTTCAAGGTGCATTGGTCATGCTGCATTGATCATTATTTATAAAAATATGTCAGAATGCCTTGCAGCTAAAGTGCTAGGAGCACAAAACTGATACGTACTAAACCACAGCTATATTAGCCGGCCTGGTTAAGATCATTTCATTAAACCTAAGATAATTTGAACTCATTTTTTTTGGTTGTTATTTGTATCATTTCTGAATGATACAAATTTATTTAGTAGTCTTAACTCTTCTTTTACGTCTCAATCTCATTTTAAACCCTTTGATTGCCTCTCCTAGCAGTTTCACCATCTGTTTATTGCTGGCTGATGCATCCTTCTGTCTCTCCACAGGCTTTAAAATAGAGCACACATCTCCTAGTGTATGTATCACTAAAAATAATCTGGGAGTAAATTGAGAACAACTTAGAAATCAAAGTTGCTTTTACATTGAGTCACAGAATCATGGAATGGTTTGGGTTGAAAGGGACCTTCAGATCATCTCGTTTCAGCCTTCTGCCATGGGCAGAAGTCAACTGATAGAATCCAAATGGGGAGGAGGAGGATGCACTCGTCTTGGTCACACACTGGTCACAGCTCCAGCCAGAGCTGCAGAAGCTGCTCCCATCATTTACAATTATCAGCGCTTAGAAATTTCATGAGATTTGTTTCTGTGCGTGTCCTCTCCCTGTTAAAACCATCAATGCACAATTCTGTGACAGAATGTCAGCACAGATATGCTGGAGAAGAGCAAATGCTACAGTGCTGGTGTGGAAGATATTATTTCAGCCCGAGGAAAATTACACATCTTCATTCCAGCTGACAACCTACACAATGCCATGCTTGAAACATAAATGATAGACTGTTTAGCTGGAAAAGCCATTAGGCATGTGACAGAGAGTGGAAGTGAGATAACCGCCTTCCCAGAACAAATAGCGCTTTGCATTTAATGTGAGTAACTTGACAGGGTTTTAAAAATTGACTTTCAGATTTTGCTTTTTAAAAAAACAACAACAACAAAAAAAAAAGAATCAGTAGGAAGAATGGAGACCTCCACCTGTACAGTTTGCCCTTCTTCCCACTGGTACACCTCCAAACTGTGAAGCATGCTGATGGATCTGCCCAAGAAATGGCATTTCCAAACTTTTCTTGGCAGCCTGAGAAGTCTTTTTTATTGCAGCACTTTTCTTGCTGTTTGTCCAGCTTTTACCTGAATCTTTGCTGCTCCTAATCCTTTACGAGGGCATGTAGCAAAAAGTTTAGAAAGTCAAGGTGCGTTTCAACTTTTATCAAGAATGTAAAAAAATAATTACAGCATGCAGGAGACAAGGCCAGTCTTATGTTGTTCTCATGTTTTGCCCTCTTCTGCTGTCTTTTTATTTTAAATTAGAGTCATAGAAAATACATTTGGGAGGACTTGCTCTAAGGGAAAATCAATCTATACCAATTCTGGCAGATATTTGTCTTATCACCCTGAGTGTTTTTTAAGACCTGCGGTGATGGCAATTCCATGTACTCTCTAGGCCTCTTATTCCTTGAAAATAGAAATTGTTACCTAATGTCTATTTGAAATGTAAGCCAATTCTTCTCTGTCCTCTGAACTGAATGTAAAAAGAATTACTGCAGGAAGGAGAAAGTGCAGGTTGATGGAGACACATCAGACTATCTACCCACCTGATCTTATTGATGTAGTGGAGACAAACTGGTCTCAAAGGGGCTCAGGGGAGGACTAAAACTCCAGTTCCCCCAAAGAACAACAGAGCCTCCTTCACCAGTCTCTCAGGATCCCCCTGGGCTGTGCAGCAGCCAGGTTAGGGGAACAGGGGGGTTTGGCACGGCTTTAGCACCACAGCAGTGTGTTGTGCTTCACACTGGAAAGCAGGGAAAACTTGTATTCAGCAGCAGATTGTGGAATAAAGAGTTTACTATAGAAAATAAAAAAATCCAATAACTCATGGCCAACATAATGAACTACCTTTGTTATTGAATTTCATTCCCCTTGAAAGCAATTTCAAGTTAGAAACATGTGGGTACGGGGTGGAACTTGTTTGCCTGTTTTTAGTGCCAAGATTTCTCCCACAAAGCTCCATAAAAAAAAAAAAAAAAAGCTCCATTTTCTCCATATAGGAACTGAAGGGCATCTGTCTGATTTCAAGTAGATTGGCTGTAGGTACTGTACCTTAAAATATTAACCTTTTTCCACTAATTGCTATGTGGGAGTTATTCACTGACTGAAAGAACCTTTTGTATTTTGTATCATACATACCAGTTCTAAGACATCACTTCATTATATTATTTTACTCCTCTATCATGGGTACAGCTTAGTGTTCCACTATATTAACAATCATTTAAGAATCTTTAATTGAGTGATACAGAGAAAGGCATTCAAAACAGAAACTAGGACTCGGCTGAGCAGGCAAATTACCAGTTTGAACACATTTGCTGAAAGAAACCCTCTCCTCAGCAGACGAGGAAAGTTAAGTCTCTCTTGTGATATCATGAAATGGAGTTTACAACCGGCAGTATCAAAGTAAAGCGACACTAAAGGGAAAACATCCTTATTTCCAGCTCTAATGATAGTAGGGGTTTATCTGCTATTGTTCTGTTTGGGTTTAGTTCTGGAGTTTTTTCAGGAGAGGTAATCTGAAGCCTATATCATACATATGGACACCCCTTGAAGGTGGGAATTTCAGTTTTTATTGTTTCCACATTCCATTTGAAAATACTGGGCAATATTTTCAAACATTTCAGATGTAGACATGTGTCTACGTCTCTTTAGGAATCAAAGGTGAAGTCACCCATGACAGTATGTGTGAAAATAACATACAACTGAGAGGAACATCTTGGAAATCTGCATCCAATTTCTTCAAGTATAAGTTGGTCCAAGTCCATTTCAGAAAAGTAAGGAAAGATACTGGTCGATATCCATGCCTGGGACAGTCAACCAACAGTTTCAAAAATGTCACTTGTAACTCAGTATTACAGGTATTGAATTCTGAGATAAGTATCAGATGAAGATGGAAACAGAGGGCTATTGGGACAGTGGAAAGGCAGAAAAAAAGGAGGACGAACTATGAATGCGGCTCACGACAAGGACTGTTTCAATTTTCTGTTTAATATGAGGACTAATCTGGGAAACACAGTGGGACCAAGTCCTCTTGTGGTCACTGCTACTCCTAAAGAAGCCTAAAGCTGAGTCATGGGATGTTTAGCTCTATAATTGTGTCCAGAGTGATAACTGTACATTAGATGTAATTCCTTAGAACTATGTTTGTTTCTACAAATCTCAAAAGGAACCACCATTAGATAAGCAGAGGAAAACAAATTCATTATCAGTGTAAAAATCCTACTTTCTGTGGATAGTGCAACCCTGTATCCATGGATAGTATTCTTCGTGAAAAAGGATGGTAGGTCTCATCATCTGGAGATACAGCACTGAGGTTGCAATGGTTTTCAGCTGTGGGAAAGAATTTGGAATATTTTTGCATTATAATAACTTGGTTTAATGTGTTCAGAAAGAACTTGCCTATGAAGTTTTAATATCCTTGGGGAAATAATAGAAATCAGCATTTTTTTCAGAAAACAATTAGGAATGTTTGGTGCTATTCCTTTTTCAGAATACAGCCCCTGCAACAATTTCTCTATCTTTGAAGGCAAAGCCATTCTGCTGGGATTCTACTGGTTTAAAAAGGCTCACAACATGACCTGTTTAGCTTTCTGTAATCCCCAAGATCTTTGCTCTTTTGGGAATGCAACTCCAGTTAGAGAGCACCATAGTCTATCTCAAGACAACGGTGCTCCCCAACTGGGAATAGGTCCCATGTGAGTGTCAGCCAGCTGGCAGAGGGTAGAATATTCCTTAGGTGCCTGAGGTGGCAGCTGAGCAGGGAGTTCCTGTCCTTTTGTGGAAGAGCCATCCCAGCATTTTAAGAGCTTTCTTATTTTCCCTAGTACAGCAAAAGCCATCTGTACTGGTGCCATTAATCCCCAAACGGAAGCCTGGCATAGATAAAGCAGTGTAAAGTTTCCTTTTTCTTTCCATTAGTTAGGATTTGACTGTCACCATATGGAGTTTATTGTGGTACATATCCATTATAGTCTATGCAGTGTATGCAGTTTTGCTTACCAATCTTAAAATTTGCATCTGGAGAAGTCATGGGAAGCAAATCTGCATTGAAAGTTGAACTTGTTCCAATAGGATGTAGACTCCACAAAGCCTGGGATGGTGATCTGTGGTTTAAATGCTTTGGTGAAGATCCAGCAGTTGCACCTGACCCACTCCAGTCTGAAATCAGAGAGTGGGAGGTACAGAGATAAAATTATGTACACGTGCCACATCTCAAAGTACCAGAGAGCAGAAAGGAGAATGGTCTGTGCTTGCTTTCTGTGACATCCTTATTCCTGCCTAGTGGCTGGGGGTCTCTGTGCCACACAGTGCACAATTCCCGATTTAATTTTTACATTAGCTCCATTACGCTTGTGCAGGTGAGGTTATACACTAGCATTTCCGTCTTCTATTTCCCCTTGAGGACCCAGTCTAGGAGTACTAATTTGATAAGGTCACACAGGAGGAGGCAGGAGTCACACGAAGTGTAGGAATCGCAGCCTTATCCTTATTGCATCACACAACACTGAGCTGGCTCCTGCTAAAGGGGGAACAGTCTGGTTGCTACTGAGGGCACTTGTGCTGAATTCTCCCTCTGCAAATGGAAAGCTGCCTCTTCCTCAGCAGCACAAGGTGCATGGGATGCTGGTCACAAGACACAGGTATTAAAACAGGATTTTTAGTCTGGTTTCCTGAAAACCAACTAGTTAAGCTTCTCCTTCGTTATACCCATTCATACCATCATTTAATTTTGATAGACACACAGAGTTATTAAATTCTTCCCCATTTCAGTAAAAAAATCAACATCATTGGAGTAGACCAGAAGAATAAGCCCATGCTATCTCCTTGCTGAGCTAGCAAATAAAAGAATGTTAGAATAATTTAGATTGGAAGGGAACATTGGAGGTCTTTGCTTCAACCTCCTGCCCAGAGTTGGATCAAGTGGGTCTGGCATCTGTCCAACTAAATTATGACTCTCCCGCACCATCTCTCTGGGCCACTGCCACCCAACTAGCGAAAAAAGAGAGTTTATTTATAAATAATGTGAATTTCCATCACTTGTGGCTTGGGTCCATTGCCTCTTGTCTTCTTGCTCTGGACCTCTGAAATTCCATCTCTTTTCTGTAACTGCCCCTCAGATAGCCAAAGACAGCAAGACATCTCCCTTCTTCCCAGCCTGAGCAAATTCAGCGACTGCACATAAAAATTGGCAACTTGTATGCCCAATATTCTGCATAAATTTCAGAATCTCAGCTATATGAAGACTGGAAAGCCACCAAAAATATGGCTCACATAAGGGAGCACTGAATGGCATGTGAGAACAGAATTAAGAGACCGAGCTGAAATACGTTTTGGAAATCTGCAGTTTTCACTGCATGCTGTCACCCTGTCATCATATCACAAGCAGTTAATGCAAGAGGATAAAGACCTATTAAAGAACAGTTATCCAATGCAATGCAGAAGGGCTGTTGAGAGGAGCCTTATTTCTTAATGCAGAACAAATGTGACACCAGTAGCAGACGAAGATTTATGAGTCAACTGAACAAATCCCTTCAGTGCTTACCAGAATAACTACTCAGACCAAATCTTCCCCAGCAGAAGTGTACTCGGCACTGCTTCACTACTTCATCCTTCATTAGGCAGTGAAACACAAAGATAAAGAACCCTAAAGAAGAATGGAGAACACGCATGAAAACTCGTGAATCTCTCCTATCTGTTGCCCCTTTTCTAAACTTCTGTCATGCCACTGATATCAATGTGTTCTGTGTGGGCAAAGTGTTCCTGGCCCAACATCAGGATCTTTAAGATCTCTTCTAACCCAAGCCACGCTACTATTTCATAATCATGTTGGCCAAGAGTTGCACTGACTTCTTCGTGCACATGAAGGTAATAGGAAGAGTTTTCTGCAGATTTGGTTTAAGAATAATCTGCAACTTGATTCTATCGGCCGTTTTTATGGCCAGATGAAAAGGATCATGCCAGTTCCTGACAAGGCACATTTATCAGGACCTGTGTTTCCAAGGCATGAATTTATATCTTTAGTAGTCTACATATCACAGCAACTTATCTAAACACTGTCATCCCACTGTAACAGAACTTTCCTTTTAAAATAGCTAAAGCCTCCAATACAAAAGCAATATCAGTTCTCCTCTTCCCCCATGCTTGACATGATATTACAGATGTATTGTTATTTCACATTCCTAAACCCTTGTGTTTATAGCACTACTCCATTCTGAAATTACCTTGCAAGGTGTTAAAAATGCTGAAGAGATACAAAAAAAATATCCTCACTGCTCCCCAGGCAAAAAAGGCAAAGCCCCACGTTAACCCCAAAAGAAACATCAGGCTGAAAGCACTTTTGAGGTCTTGGAGAGCACCCCGTTTCCAGAATCTGGATGTCTTTTGTGTCCTCGTTTTCACAGAGTGGATTTGAAGGAGAACAGTGATGAACATAGCTGTATTCATCAAAAATAGTAAGAAGAAATAGGCCACAACAGAGATGTAGAACACAGTGTTGTCCTGGATCCAGCAACTGCAAGAAAGGGAGGTAAGTATTCAATAAGAAGTTTTGTGAGGGGGAAATTCGGGAAGCTGGTTCCCCAAATAAGCATTCTGTATGGTTATCCAATGCCTAGTTAGGGGCATTCCCTTGCACTTGTTATTTTCCCCCAGTGAGGACATTCATAGAATGCCTGCACTTGTCTTTTTTTATGGATGTTACGGAAATTTGGTACCTCTAAGACATGGATATTTCTGCCAAATTCAGATAAACTTGATGATTGTTTCACAACCTAAAATCGTATAAACACAAAGACATGCTGCCTTAGGAAAACCAGGTTGAATATGACTTAACTAGGGGTCCTAATAATAGCATACCACTGCATAGCTTTTCCTTAGGCATAAATTAGTGAATTTTACTTCTTTTTTTCTTTGTGTCTTTTTTGTTAAAGATGGGGACCAACTTTCCCTCTGAGGTGTCACAGGTGTGTAGCCTCTCTGATGAGAGAAAACTCAAATACTGCAGGTAATCTTCACCAACAAGTGATTGTGCTAAACAAGAAGCAGGTGGAAAAATGAAAGCATTCTTTGCTACAAAAGCATTTTAAAAAAGGATGAAAGAAGGCAGTGTTTTCCCACTGGAAAAGGGAAGAGGTTGAGACTACTGAAGCAAAACTACTTGAAATTATGATGAGACAATGATGTGATTTGACATGTAAAAAAAACAAAAACCACAGAAGGAAATGTGCAAAATACTGGAACAATCATTGTGCCTTTAGATTTTTACCAGAAACCCAGAACATGCAGAAGCACATACAAATATCCCATTAGACTGCATTAATGCAATGAAAGAACAGAAACTAAAAATGGAGTTGACTGGCAGAAACCCTCGCTGTCCTCAAACCAAGTTCACCGATGTGAAAACTACTCCATGTAGTAGCCATGCATTCAAAATGTTCCTATGAACCAGAACCACTGAAAGGAGAGGGTAAAGATGAAAGAGCGGAGACAAAAGTGAGTTATTTCTGGTTATCCCTTGTATTTTTCAGATATTCTGGTGACCATCAAAAAGCTTCAAGTATTATACTTACAAATTGCTGTAAGGATGGCTCTTGGAGAGTGACCCATTGCCATAGAAGTCTTTATTTATAATGAGCACAAGAGTAATCACAATAGCTGGTATTCCTAATGTGGAAAGCAAAAGAAAAATAAATAGTTTGATTCAAAAGAAAAAATTAAGAGTATGGAAAGATGTCACATAATCTCTGAGATGTAATTACAGCAGACATGTGCATCTTTGGATCAAATTCTACCCCCAGAGCTCCTTGTGAAACAACTGTAATTAAATATGTAGCACAGCAGGTTTGATCTCCTTATTTATGCAAATTACAAATGAGTAGGCATAAAAATATCTGTGTTTGCAAAATGTTTCTGAGCCTTCAAACATCTCCAGAAGGGATCCAATCTGGTAAAATAAAACCAAATGATTATTACAAAAGCTGAGTGTCAAAGGATAAGCAGACCACAGCATTTTGTTTTAAGAGCTCATAGAGACACATGTTTCCCAGGCAGTGCTTTATCAGTCTTCCCTTTCACACATTTCCCAGATTTTTTTCAGTTCTGGCTTTTCTGTAGAGAACAGCTGCTGCCAACAGCACAATCAAGGATGGCTGCCCCTAAGAACAATTGTGTGGGACATCAGATCTGAGGATAGGGATGATAATATGCTGCACACTATTCAAGATCAAAAAAAAAAACCAACCCCTTAAAAAGATATCTAATGGTGGCCCAAATAATACAGCCCAAATTCTGCTCTATGTCAGTGCCTCTGGTAACACCTTTTCTAACAGGTGAACCAGAATTTGGGTTCTTTTTGGTACATTTCTCCCAAAACAGGTCTCTGATACTTGTCAAGGGAATTCCTTGGGAGAGCAATGAATGAAAGCCAAATCCACTCTGTGCATGGGAATTGGTTAGAGAATGCCAAAAATGGACACAAGGCTCAGAAAAGGAATTAAAATCACCTCTGATCATCCTCACACAGGGGTGAAGCCTGTGGGCAGCATTACTGCCACTCATGTGAGGTACTCTGATAAATCATCCTGTAAAGAGGAGTAAGAAAGCAGTGCCTCACACCCACTTTCAGTTGCATATGACTGTGCAGGGACCAACAAGCACTCTGCTAATGTCTCCCAGGACAGAAGAAATTTAAGCTGAACAGCCTAGGGGAAGAGATCCATCCTCACAGCGCAGGGTGTGCATCGCATTTCTGGGAGCTCAGTGTCTTCCCTTATTTCTGTAAAAATGCCCCAATCTTAGGGAAGCTGACAAGCACAGAAGTGGAGAGGAACTAATCTATTTACCCCAGCCAGCAATGCAGCATTTTAGGATGTACTTTGGGACATAAACATTGAAAACTTTGACAAGAGCCAAATAAAAGTGAACAGACTCCAGGCACATCCACGTGAATGCTGCAAGAAGGAAATAGTGGAGGAGCATGGCCATGGTGATGCAGAGGCCTGGCTGGTTGAACGAGGTCTGCCAGGAGTTGGTGAGGAAGACAACGTTCAGCATCAGCAGCGCAGCACAAAGGTTGAGCAGGATTTTTGAGGGGCTGTCTCTCCGCACCTTCCTAAAAGAAAGGGGAAAGTCCGGAAGATTATCACTGCATCATCCAATTTACAGACTATTTACTCCCTACAGGAGCATGTTTGCAGTCTAACCCTATGCACAGGAATATTCCAGATTCTTGATGTAATAACTCACCCATGTCCAGGGGTAAATTTTTGAAATGACAGGAATTTTTACTCTTTACAGACATTTTACTGGGAGAGCGGTGAGGCCCTGGCACAGGTTGCCCAGAGAAGCTGTGGCTGCTCTGTCCCTGGAAGTGTTCAAGGCCATGTTGGACGGGGCTTGGAGCAACGTGGTCTAGTGGAAAGCGTCCCTACCAATGGCAAGGTGCTGAAACTAGAGGACCTTTTAGTAATCCCTTCCAATCCAAAGCATTCAATGATTTTGTGAAATTTAGGAACATAAAAATTGCTGAACAGTAAAGATAGGTGCTTGTATTGAAGTAGAAGTATTCAAATCTCTCTAATTTTGCAGCAGACAGACATCAAAATAAAGCAATATTTATACTCTCAGTCTTCCCTTTTATGCATCACAGCATCAAATACTAGCAAACATTCTGATCATTGCTGCAAATTCCTTATTGCCAAAATATTACAATCAGTGTAAGAAAAAGGATCATACTTACTCAAGGGTTAGGTATGTCATGAGCGTTATTCCCAAAAAAAGTGAAGAAGCACCACATCCTGCATAGCTTATCAAAGTTAATATATGATCATGTGTGACATCTATTTCTGTCCGGGCCAAGTCCTGTGTTACAAGATAAAGAAACACAGTTGTTTGCCAAGACACATTTAGAAAATTCCTTTCACATAGTGAAATTACTGTTCTGCTTACTGCTACTTTTGGAGATTTTCCATTAATATATTTATGTGTTTTTTATCGTATAGTCCCACAGAATATTCAAACTAGTAAATGGCAAATTAGCCTGCAGTATTTAAAGTATCTGGCAATAAGTTGTGAAGCTAGAAAGGCTGTTCTTCAGAAACCACAAATTGAATATGGATTCCAAGATCTTACCAAAATTATTTCACCGGGAGCTCGCTTTGTAGGAGAAACTACTTTGTTTCAGTGGCAGCTGCCATGCTTGGGAACTGCACAAACCTGCTAAATGCCTTAGACCATGGTAGATCCTCCCTGTCCAGGAAGCGCCACTGCAAAATCAGACAGGAGGCTGGGCCCTGATTCTCCACAGCTGCTGCCAGGAGGAACACTGAGAGGATTTTGTTGTTCCCTGACACAGCTTCTCTTCTATTTTGACTAGTAACCTGCATCTCCAATGTCCCAGGGATGATGCTGCTGAAGACCTGTAGCTGTGCTGATTACCAAAGTCAAAGTGCAAGGTGTGATCTGAAAATCAGACTGAATTCTTCTTGCTTGAACAAAAATGTAAGCAAGTGTCTGGAATCGGAACCATCTCAATTCCTTTCTGTAAAGCCACAATTTTATTCCTAGGAGAGCTTTTGCCTCTGGAGCAGGGTCATGCTGACAGGGGAAGCATCCAAAGGCAAAGGTGGGGCCTCACCCCATCCTGTGGGCTATGTCCTACCAGGAATAGACAATTTAATCTACCTGATTTGCTTAGAACCTGCCTGTCTCTTTGCCTTTTGTGCAGCCCATTCTCAGGCAGTTGTCCCAGCTTTTGACATTTTGCTTTTAGAGGCAGTTTTCTCTATATTACAGAGAAATAAGAGGTGCTAGATAATAACATCTCCCATATTTATACTAAACTTCACTTTCTGATGGAGCATAGATAAAGCTTTCAAGAATGTGTAATGTCATTAGTTGTTGCTGGCAGTTAATAAATTTAACACAGTATTTCCAACACATATTAAGGTTGATTAAATTACACTGCAAAGTACAAACTACATCTGTAAAACAAAATTGCCTCAAAGCAGTTTAAAGGACTTTACACCATTAAATTATTATAACTGTTTTCTTTGTATTGCTGATTTTGGCAACATTGCAGATATCTAAGAGCTTGTATAGATATGAATCTCTCATCTCTTCTCCAAAGCTAGAGATGACTTTGTTTAGTACCACGGGACTTTCTGGGAGATGATTCATGGTGTACTCACCAGTAGGACTCCAAAATGGGTAAGATGGTTACAGAAACAGATTGTATAATTCATATCTGTATATTCCATTTCACACCCCGATGTATTCCAACCACCCAGTCCATCTGTGTAATAAAGAAAAAGGATTTTTAAGCAGAGTTAGTCATCCTCCATCATTTATAGCTCTGCAGCATGCAGGGTGTGTGAAGACAAGCTCAAGTTAGTACAGATTGCAGGGTCATTTAGCAGCACACAAGTGAGATTTCACACTGAAACACATCTTCTGTAGTTGCCTGAGAACCTCAAAATTTGGATGAAAGCTTTTAGTGGAATGAAGAAATATTTAAAGTCATTTACATATCTGCACACATAGAAAGAAGCTAAAGAACCTAGTGCTGGGGGAGATTGTGCGGGAGGATGTGGAAACAGAAGAAAAGAAACACACACAGGGCAGAGAGTTTGTTTAGGCAGCACTGAAACAGCCAGATCTTCCCTGGTAAGACCTAATGTTATGACCCTATTTTTGTGGTCTGCGTCACAAATTCAGAAGCTAAGATGCTGATCAAAAACAAGCAAATATTTTCTACTTCTAGTGATTGCAGAGGAAACCTCTCTCACGTGCTCCGAGTTAACCCAATTCACAGTTATCCCTCTCTGGTGACTGTCTTAGCCATTTTAAAGACCTAATCCCAGCAAAGCCCCTACTGTATTCCCTGAAGTCACGGTACGAGTTCATCTGATATTTCATTGAATTTCTGCCTTTTTCTTTAGCAAAGTCTTCTTATTTGTGCAGATGCAGCATTGCACACTGCCATACCCATGTCCGTGGGGATAACACTGAGTACCGAGGTGTTGATATCAACACAAAGCAGCAGCACACGCTCAGGTTTCAAGGTGCAATGTCAAGAAACCAAAGCCTCTGGGGACAGAGCCAGCTCGGCAAGTAACACTTACTGTTTTTCCCAAAGTCCCAAAAGACGCAGTGCACTGCTGCATTGCCCTGGAAACAGAAGAAAGGAGGATGTGACATTTCTTCAGGACATATGCACTCCGTCTGCAGTTGCAGATGGTGTATCTCACCTCGAATTGGGGTGTATAACCAAGGCACTTGGATTTGATTACCCCTGCACTGCTTGGCAGCAAAGCCCACTTATGTCTGCGATTATTTGTGTGCGGTGCTGCAGAGGGCGTCTGCGTGTGAGTGGAGACACCACGAGATACTGGGCAGCCAGACACTTGGGCTTGAGGAGCCAGCCAGGATATTGGCCATCTCACCCATGGCACTAAACCAGCAGAGCCCCACTTTTTGCCTTCCCCTTTACCAAGGGAAATCCTGCGAGTAAGTGATTTTCCCAGTTTTACCTGTATTTTTCAATACCTTGTAGTCTTTTAAGGACAGCAGCAAATCTGACAAATCGTTCACCTTAGACCACTTCCCGTGTCTAATCTTATTGGGTCCATGCGGTGCCTGAGATGTCACACCAAATTACTGGTGAAATTCAAAAGTTATGACTAAGACCTGCAATAACAACCTGAGATTTTATACATTTGAAAAAAAAACCTCTACAAGAAACCTTTACTTTAGAATTTCAGCAATTCCCCCTCTCGGAAATCAGTCAGGAAAGACAAGTGAGAACTGAACAGATGTAAATGGATATTCAATGCAATAATTTCTCTTGGAGACTCAGTTTGTTACTCATAATGCTGCAAATTTTTCCAAGGCACAGATTCATTTACTTTTACTATTATTATATCATTAATAAAGTTTAATAATGCACAGAGTTTACAGGAAGCCAGCCTAACAGATAAGCTGTTAAGATGTGTGATTTGTAGGCTGTCAAATATAATTAGGCACAGAGCCAAAGATGTAGGTTTGGATGATAACTCATTAAATATTTAATCAAGATAATTTTAAAAGGTCAAGGAAAAAAATCTGAAAGGTGCCAGATGGTCTGGTAGAGTAAAAATGACAGAAGAGAGGGGATATCTGGGTGAAATTTCTGGGTATATATTTGCCGGATGGAAAGAGCATTTTGCCACGAAAACAGCAATTAAAAGTCCTCATTAACTCAAACTCTAACCAAGTTCATCTTATTGAATGATTTTCTTCTGCCTTGGGTTTGTAATATACTCATATATTGAGTATATACATAAGTATATATATAAGGTGGAGGCTGGACCTTAAACATTGGCAGCACAAAAATTCTGAGGAATTCAATCAACAAGTTTGACCCATGCCCACTTAAAAATAGACTTTAACCTAAAGTCTGTTTAGACTTTAGACTAAGCTTAGACTTTAGGTTAAAGTCTAAACTTAAATTTAAAATAGACTTAAACAAAACAAAGAAATTTGATTTTTAAAACATCTTCGCAAGGTTTTGGGGTTTTTTTAAAGTTCCTCTCTTTTGATGACCTGACCTATTTCCCAAATTCAGATCAAGGATAAATCATTTCAGTCCAATCCAAGGCCCACTATTTTCTGGCAAATAAACTACTCTTTGAAAAAAAAATTGCCTAGATCAGAACAAGGAAACAATAAAAATGTCCCTTGTTGCTAAGTATGGATTTAGAGTGCAGACACAAGCATTAGTGACCTGCAAGGAATTATTAAACACTGAGATGTGTGTGGTCAGTCAATGCTTGGGTCCATGCATCATGGAGAGGTCAGGCAGCAAGGTGTTTTAAGTTTATTTGTCCTGTTCCAGTTTATTGAAAATGTGAAGTCAGCTTTGTCTAATGCCATCACTGAGAAATGAACACATCCTACCCTGTTCTGGTCTATGTGGTGGAGAGTGACAGTCACGGGCTCGTTAAGGTTCTGAATTGATGCATTTTCAATGCTGGCACTCACAACATAAGTGTTCAATCTCTCCATCGTTAAACTGTCATCCTGCAGGGGGAAAGCACACACATGCAAAATGAATCCAAGCTCTGGCCTGCCCTATTTTTTTTTTAACTGTATTCCTTGGATATGGTGATCAGCTAAACTCCATGGGATGACCGATGTAATTTAGCTACTTGCTACATCATTAAAACACGAGGTTAGCTGCAGCTCAGGGGCAGTGTCAACATGAAGTGGAACTGAGTTTCCGATGCACCAGCTGGATTGAGAAAGCTGTAATTGTTTCAGTACATTTAAGCACTTGGTTGTACATCACTAAGCTCATTAGACAGGAGACACAACTGTAAATGCTCCTTCGTTGTGCAAAGCATTGTTCGGTGCACTGTACGAGCCATCATTTCAAAGAAACGTCTCCCTTTCTAAGTTATACCCACCTGTCCTTAAGAAAAGTAAGTACTAGAATAGTCGTAAATCCTGCACATCCTGCTGCTATATTATTTTAATAGAGATATAAGGCTTGAAATTATTTTTGTGGTACTCGGCATACTCGGCATATGCTAAGCATCATCCTTATGATCAGACAAGGTTAGGGGGCATGTTCTTTTCCTGCAGTACAAGAAGACTAGAATAACATCAGTTGCAGAAAATGAAAAAAAGTCTGAGGTCTACAGGCACTTCTCAGAGCATCCTCACGTCAGAGAAGGTTTTGCTGCCCGAGTACATTTTGCCTGCACATGCCTCCATCAGTCTGATGCTAATATGCCCAGAACAGATGATGCTGCAATTGGGATTTCTTTTTGTAGGCACTGAGAACAGCTGAGCCCATTCCTGCTGTGTTAGGGTTTGCTGGGAGTCATAGTTACCAGAAAAAGTGAAGTAGTGCCAAAAAACTTGAACTGGATCTTTGAACGCTTGTCTGGGTCAGAGTACTCGATGCCTAGGAAGTTCTTCAGGGATTTTGGCAAAAACACAGAGGCCAAAACCTTTCTGAAAGGGTTTTCTTGTACACTGATCTGCAGGAGAAAGATGATATGCTCAGAGGTGCCACATGCTCAGGTCAAATTCAAACTGAGGCAAAAGAGTGGGAGAATTGTCTGGTTTAGTCAGTGGTCCCTGAGGTGATACTTGGCTCTCACCTTGAGATCCACACCTCTGTTGTAAGAGGCAATGCCAAAGGCCAGTCCTCCAAATAGGCCGGGATCTGGACGCAACACCAAGAGGGCCAAGGATGTGGTTATGACTGACATATTTCTCTCTGTGTGGGTAACCTTATAGCCCATTTCCTCAGTCATCTTCAGGATACTTCAACAAGAGCAACAGAAAGAAAAAAAAAAAAATAGAACTCTTGAAATCTAGTGCTGGTTTCATAATGCACACCCAAGAGACTAAGAGCCTTTGCTCTGATTTATGATCACTAGGAGCAACCACTGGAGCAGAATGGGTCCATTTTGGGGTAGATGGCAATTTGTCTGCACAGGCTCAGGTGATGGCAAGCAGTTGAGTTAGCATGATTCAGTGGCCTCTGGCAGGTGGAAGATACTCTCCCTGTGGGGACCACAGAACATGGTTCTGAGAAGACTTAAGTCAAAATCCACACCCAGTCAAAAACTGCACGTCATCTGGAAGGCAGTAACTTGTAAAATCTACTCATTGGATTTTTTCAATCATCTAATTGTACCAGGAGATGAAACACTGGAGCCGGAAGAATTTAGTCTGGTAGGAACCTCTGGAAGTCCATCCTCCAAATCCTCACCACCTCAGGCAGAATATGTTCTGAAGACAGAGCTATTGCTCAGGGGCTTGTCCAGCAAAGCTCTAACTGGGCAAACTTTGTGTCTTTGTATTTGTCCTTGCCAAGGCCAGCTGCACTGCTCAAACATTCCAAACCAGGCAGCCGAGTTCCCTTTAAGACCTTAGAGAAGAGAGGTGTTTTTAAAGCTAAGAACCTCAATCTTAGCATGTGTGAAAATTACATTATTGATGCAGCATCCTAAACACAGATTTTGAAGACTAACTTTTCATAGCTGTGTTTAAAAAGTCTTTATCAGCAAGGGTAGAGGGTGGAAGAGAGTTATGTCTCCAGGCTGACCTGCCCACAGCCCTCACTGCTGAGACACAAAATCCTTGTGACAGGAAATGACAGCTGGGCAGTCCCTGAGCTGCCTCCAGGCTGGGATGCCCATAGGGAACAGACTTCTGCAGAACTGGCTCTGCCAAAGGCATCTTGACAACACAATAACCAATTTCTGCTGGTAAAAACCTCAAATATGTTTAAGATTGAAGTACAGAAATTCCTAGCTCCAGTGATAATATTTCAATAGACTGAATAAATTATGCCATAATGCCATTTCAGCCTAGGGAGCCTCTTCTGAGCAAGTTATCTTACTCACCTATTGGTTATTTTTCTTAAGTTCTCATCTTCTATTTCTTGCAGCAGAATATAGTCTAGTATAGCCAATAACATTCTCTGCAAGTGTCACACTCACATCTGCAAGCTCTACAATATCGGAAATTTTACTTGCAATGATTTCTAGCTCTTCCGCATGCAGTGTCGCATCAGGTAAGAGGTATAAAATATGCTGTACAACATCTTGTGCATTTTCTGGAAAAAAAAAAGGAAGCGCACATGATTTATGTGGCATAGCTATCTGTCTGGCCATACAGCTACATGTCTCTCTCGAGTGCTCCTGATCTATTACAAGCTTATGTCCTAAGGATAAGTTAAAAAGGTCTCGACATGTCAATGAGACTGGCACAAACTTCTAAGTAAAATCTGCATACCCCAGATTGTATTTTAAAGGAAGAAAATAACATACTTTTCAAAAGAATACCGTCACCTGCTTTTTGATTGGTAAAGACTATCTGCAAATAATATTTAGTTCTAACTTTGGTTGTTTACAAGAATTTGTGAACTACAAATTGCAAAAGATCTGCCCCTGTTCCTTATGCTGCTTACCTGGTACAGCAGCAAAAGCAAATTCTGAATGGTATTTTGTATTTGTCGTTCATCATCTCGTCATCCTTCTATAATTTTTTTATAGAAGCAGATTTTACACCCTGGGAGTCAGACAGACTGTGTGCAACTGCAGATATCTTTCTGTGACCTATTATTTGATGCGCTGCTGAGGATAAGGATAGGCTCTAGTACTGGGTTTGTTTGCCATTCCAACTATTCTCACTGTTAGGCACAGCTTAAGAAAAGTATAAACAGGTGGGAGAGTTCATCTCATAGTTTACATGAATTACAGCAGCAACTTTTTAACTCCAGACACTGATTAGTGCTTCTTTCCATGACATACTGAACTGCTGCTGAACTGCTTTGATGTGTTAACAGAGCATATAGACAGGCAAAGCCTGCCACATTATTCACTGGTTACCTACCTAGCTATAAATTTAAGTGCAGACTTTGAGACTAGATGATTCAATAGAGAATTTGGAAGCTCCTGCAAAATCCATCAACAATAAAAACTGTTAAGATGACCAGATGTGCAGGATGCACAAAAACAACCTTATCACTTCTTCAGATGTGCAGCGTGAGCATTATCTAACTACAACTATTTTTACTGTGATTCACTGTGTCACTGAAGTATCTGGTGTCATACCTTCTGTTAGCTTGATATCTTGGAGGTCTAGAATATTATTTGGAAGTTTTTCCAGTAATTTGCATTTAGTCATGTTTGGTTTCTTCCAAAAAGCTTGCTTAAGTTCAATAGTAATTTCACTGAAAAATGAAAACAAAGCACATTGTTACTAGAAAACACAGGTACTCATGATGTTCTTCATATTTCCCACGTAGGTAGCCAAGAATGCAATTTAATAACCTAACTTAAAATGGACTTTCAAGTCAGATATGACTTAGCACTCATCCAGCAGAATGGTGGCAGAGCCCAAATGCCAGAGCCACGTGAAACATGCCTTGAGGTTTCAGAGGAGCCATTGAGAGGAGGCACAAAATGCTAAGGGGCACGATTTCCCCTTCCTGCCCAAGCAGAAAGTCGGGTCCCTGCAGTGACAGCAGGTTCTGCCTACAGGTGATGGGAATGATGCCACGCCCTTTTCCTGCAGCAGGAAAAGCCCTGGATTTCTTTGCATATTCATTGGCATGGCACTGCGGTGTGCCATGGCAGAGCACCATCTAATTTGCCATTACAAAACCTGCTGTTCTTCCATGGAAGGATCAATACAAGATGTCTCATCACTCACCAGCTCCTCTGAGCAGACTGCAGAGGGTTTTTCCTGCAGCTGACCTCTGTCTCAGAGGCTGGACTTGTTACAGGCCAGGAATAATTCCCATTGTACCTTGTGAGGAAAAAGCTTTCTGGACAACCCACTAGTGCTGAGGAGGAAATAAATAAAAGCTCTTTACAAAGACTCAATAGTCAAAAACAAGGCACCGCCCCCACACCAGCTGGGTCAGCTGCCCTGTGGATCTGGGTTCCTGATGGGAATGAGTTCTAATTTGCAGACCGGGTAAGAGCATTTTACTGAGGTTTACTGTCTATAAGAAAACATTTTATTTAAATATTTCATCTCTTCTTCTACATTTTTTTCTCCTTTGTTTGACAAGTTCAGTTCTCAGGTAGAGAGTTTCCAGCATCACAAACCGTATTCAATGACAGAACACCCTCCAGGCTTCTCTAATCTATCAGAAAGTGCTTTACATTGCCCCTTATTAACCCATCAATGTCTTCCCTCCAGACTTGTTTTATCATCTGCAACTTATATTTTGTAAATTATTGCTATAAAAAGGGTTTTGAATCTCAGGTGTATCTGTTAGCTCTTATCTCTGGTTTACTCCTGTTTTTTAAGGAAGAACAGAAACAGTAACCAAACCAGCAAAATACTTATTTGCCATCTGAGGATTGTTCCAATGTGCAGAGGCATTGAGAAAATGCTGGCAGGTAGATTTGCTTCGGTTGTTTGGTTTCAGTCTCCCTGGGGTATTTGCCACAACCGGGAGCTCCTGGATTTGTAGCTGCATCAGCTATACTCTGCCTTTGTTGCAAAGGTGTTCAGACCTGCCTGGGCTCTGGGATTCATGTTTGAACTGGTCTCCATTCGTAGGGAACCCACGTTTCTGATATCGCTGTCACTGCATGATCTTCTACAGATTGTACATCACATGAGGTTGGTCTGGTTACTTGTAAGGATGTTTTCTAGCCTAACCTCTTCACAGAAATTGAATTTGACAAAAATGACTGATAGACAGAACTGCAAAGTACATTATTTCCAATGAGGCTTAAGTCAAGTTTTACCTATTGACTTCACAACCACATCTTCAGGTTTCACATACAGGGAAAATGGTCCCTCTTTGTAAGTGTCATTCAGCAACTCTTTGATCTTGAGACTCAGGACTTCTGGTATTTCCAGGGATGTGGTCTTTACAGCGGCCTTACAGACATAGCTACAAAGAGAATACAAAAACGAGGCTGCCATGTTGGTAACATTTCACGAATATAAGTGGTTAAAAAATTAAGGAGTAACTCAGATAATTACACTGAATTGGATAATGTATGTGTTTCTCTCACTGTAAGTGCAGCATTGAGGAAATATTTTCTAAAGTAGAAAATATTAGGAATACAGGTGCAAGAATCGCTCTATAGTTCCATGGTATATGCCTCTAAAGGTTTCCTAATAACGTTATCTCAGCAAAGGAACACCCCTGTCACAAGTAAGGGTTTTTCAGCATTCAAAGTTCGGAGAGAGCCACTCATAAAAACAGCGAGGTGCTTGTGACCCTGTGACTCCAAGGGTCTCTGGAAAACCGGGATTTAACCAACCACTTTCAGTGTCTCTGGTGGATCCCAGTTCTCCTCAGAACAGCTTTTGCTTGAAGTAATTATGGTCGCGAACTCTGGAAGGTTGGGAAAGACTGTATGAATGTCTTCAGGCATGTCAGAAAAATGCCTGAAGCCACTCATAATGTCAGAAGAACCCATGGATGGATCGCCTCATGGACCTGTTATTTAACGGAGGGCTAATGAGTGAGAGTTCCTTAGGGCTGGGATATTTCAAGCTTTTTCCATTCACACAGTTATCCACCACTTATCATGGTCTTTCTAAACCATTCATAGCCCCTTGGAGGTGATGGGAATTCACCTCCTCCTCCTCCTGGCCTGGGGTCAGAAGGCAAATAGGATTTCCAACAGAAGAGTTGCAGGATTCATCCTGGTATCCCTCTTGGGCACTGTCTACTCACTGCTTCTGGCCCCAGCGAAGGACCCTGCTCAGGGTAGGCTCTTACAGGGAAGCATAAACCTCACAGCTTGCCATGGAATCACTCCCAAAGACCTGGGATATGAGAAGAAAACCTTGGATGCCCAAATACATTTCCCCCAAGTCAAGCATTCCTGTGCTTCTGACTTCCATGTGTACTTTTCTGGTCACCCTGAAACTCAAAGAGACACGGATGGATATAATTTCTCCCCCTCCTAGAAACGAAATCAGTGCAAACTATGTAAATCCAATTCATAACCCCGGGTCTTACCTTTGTGATATCTGCTTTACCTTCCCCTTCAGTTCACATGGAAGGACACAGAAAGTTAGAAAATGGTTAGAATCGACAGGCACAAATTGTTTTTTAAGGAAAGCAATTAGCAGAAACTCAGTGTGCTCTTTAAATTAGGGTCTGTTGCTTTAAATGTTACTGGGAGAAGCCTTTGTTTCACAGTACTGTCAGGGGTTCATCCGGATAATTAAACAATTTCAACAAAACACAAGAGCATTGACATTTAGACCCTTTAGCTACTATATTTTCTATGCAGAGGTAAGAAAAATATATCTGTCAATAAGAGGAATCAGAAAATAGCTAATTACATACGTGAGTCCTCCTATAGGCACTGTGGTATGGATAATTATCCCTGAAAACAAAAGAGAATAGAACAATTATTTCATGGTAGCATGTAACTGTAACATGCCCAATTCTGCTACCACCTAAAAACAAGATCTTGTGACCACAATAAGCTAGACTTTACAGCTTGGAAGTCATCTTGAATTCAGCACAGGTATATCTACAGAAGTCACCAGAACCGAGTACTATAATTGATATGCATGCTGGCAAAAAAATAATTCTTCCAAAATGGGAAGAACCTTCCCTTAATGTTTTATGGATGGGATTCATCCCATGTGAATATTGCAGTGTGTTACTGTATTATCATCTATAAAACAAGCAGTACCTGCGGAAGTCAGAGAAGGAAGCAGGAAGTCAAAATAGATATAAAATGACAAAATTCTGCATCCATGCATGTGACATGTTTACAAATTGCTAAAATATCCCTCTCCACTTCTCACAGTTTGGATGGTAATACAGTGGATTGGCCTAAAAGGAACAAAATAGGGGAATCTGGTGCAAGAAACCATTGTTTCTAGCAGCGCTTTCAAGCTATAACATCCTTTCATTAGACAGTGCCACACGAGAGCCAGTCCCCAGGGTCTGTGAGCCTTGTTCCCCTCTGTAACCCCCAAACAGACCGGTCAGTTGGGAAATGGGTATCTGGAACGTGACTGCT